AAAGGGGGGAGCTTTTTAATTTAACAGACCTGTTTTGGTTAAAAAAAAAAATAGTGGCAGTTGCCCCCCCCCCCCCCCCCCCCCTCTCGGAATCCCTTCTGCAGGCTCCCAACAGAGCGTTCAGGTAGCATCCTCCCAAGTTCCAGACATGTGCGTACGCGGGAGGTGGAGAAGCCCCCGGCGCAACAGGGTTGGCAGAGACGCAACTCGCAAAGAGACGATGTTACCGTCCGGCTCCGCCCTGCTGCCACCCGCCGTTTCTCTTGTGTGTGTCGACTAAGATGAGATGAGATGCCGGTGTGCTAGTATTTGATCATCTGGGAATCCATTTGGCGGGGTTTGGCATTTCCAGCGAGCGGGGGATTGGCTTTCTTTCTTCATGTTCCCAGAGACGACTTGTTGAGCTGTTGTTTGCTTGAGTTGCGGAAGTTGCCATGTAATTTGTCCATGATGAAAAGCTGGGAGAGCAACTTGAGGGCATCTAGAGGAGATGTCACCACATGTCTGTGTCTATCTGTCTGTCTGTCTGTCTGTCTGTCTGTCTGTCTGTCTGCTTGGACGAGGAGCACGTTGGGATGGAGGCCAACCCTCAGCTACCAGAGCAGAGACGTTTCAGCAACCTCGGCAAGTATGTAACGCGACTCACAACACGGAGCAGCTGCTCCTAGCCACTCCTCGCTTGGTATTTTTCAGCTGCCATCGTATGTTCAATTACCGGAGCACCACCAGAGTCGGTTCAGCTGCCATTGAGCAGAGCGCGATCTCAATCCTTCAGCAGACGAAACACGTGTGACGCATCGACGATGCTGTAAGAGAAACGTCCGGGCCAAAGTGTTTGACTGAATTTTGCCTCTTGTAGATCCCATCTACCGAAATCTCGCCCACCAAATATCCACTACTGGGAGGGTGGATCTACGCGGGCATAACGATGCGAGATCCTGCCGACAGCAAGAGGTTCCATTGGTGCCACAGTATTATTTCGCCGCTGGCTGAGCAATGAGCGGAATATCCGGGCATGTGAGAGTGGACCATGATCTTACAATGAATGATTTCAGCTCGTTTAGGATGTGAGGTTTCGTCGATCAGGGTTTCTATATGCAAGCGTTCCTTCAAACTATAGTATCGGCCAGCGTACGAAGCAGTTGTGGTCCGGCTTTTTCGAATGGTAACTCATTGAGTCCAATGCCTGGATGGCATTGGCACGCGATGGCGTTTCTAGCGGACAGCAGTGCTTACAACGAACGAACCGATCGACATGCAATTGCCATTGCAGCGGAGTCAATTGGGATATGGAGGCCATAGTCAAGCCATTGCTAGCAGCAGTTTACACGGACACGGCACATGAAAGACAACCGGCTGCATTGGCCCCTGAATACCCATAATTGA